CTTTTTCTTTAGCCTTTTGTTCGCGGCGAAGCTGCTTTTCATCCATCGTCATTATGGCTTGTGTTGTGGCTCGGCATATTCGTCTGCGGATCAAGAAGCCAATCGTGTTGGCCCAGTTGTAGCTGTCCTGCTCGTTCTTGGGGATGCTGTGTTGGTCCGCTGCTTTTCCTGCCAGTGCGTCAGCCCTTCTGTTGCCTTCCCACGCTGCTTTCGGGTACTGCTTCATCTTCGCCTCTTCCCAGTCCAGGTGGCTCTCGATGTGCTTGACTTTGATGTGTGCGGTTCCTCTGTACTCGATGGCTTGCCCTAGCTTCTTCCATAGGTGGCCGTTCGTCCCGATGTAGGCCTTTCTCAGGTACCTTTGCTTGCGCCATCCTCTGCATAACACATCCGAGTCGGTCCAGAACGTGATGTCTCCTGTGGAGCGTGCCAGGGCGTCGATCATCGCTTACATCTCCGCGCGGTTGTTGGTTTGTCTTGGCCCTGGCAGAGGTCCGCTGTGTTCTTCCTCAATGGCGTTGCTGTGCACGTTGATTGCTGCCCCTCCCCATCCGCATCTTCTGTGCCGTCTGTCGTCTGCTTGAGCTCCTCCGCTGCCGTCTCCGCATACGCATAGCGGGTGTTCTTCGCTGCCGTGTAGCTTGATTCTGTCTGCTTCTTCTTTCGGAAGGGGGAGATGTAGCGCGTCCTCCGTTGAACATGCTGCGGGCGTGGTCCAGCTTGTGGGCGGTATGCCTCTGAGCCATAGTGCTGGCAGTGCTTCCGCTCCTTCTTTGGCACGCTCCAGCAGGTGGTCCGTGGCCCTGTAGTCTTTGTGGTCGCTTTGGTAGCAGTTCTCCCAGATCCGGTGGTAGTCTGTGTCCAGCGCCCCGCACCTGCATGTTCCTGCTGTCCCGAATGCTTCTGCCCTTCTTGCTCCTGTCCAGGTACCTCCACAGACCGCCACAAGTAGGGCTCCGTAGTCCTGGTACTTCCCTTTCTTCTTGAGCTTGTTGATCTGCCTTCTGACGTCTGTGAAGTCCGCTCCCTGCTCAAGACCCTTCCCGTTGTGGTGCTTTGCTGCCTTTGCCCAGATGCTGCGATCTACGTCCTTCATGATGTGGTCGATGACGTCTGTCGGGTCTTCCTCGTGTCCTTCTTCCATGGCCCATTGATCTCCGTTGCTCTCCGTCCATCTCGTCGGTGTTGTGGGGTCCCAACCAAGCTCCGTCAGCTGCAAGGTCAAGCTGCCGATGATGCCCCTTCGTTTCCTCCATCTTCCTTTGCGTGTGCCTTGTAGCATTCTACGTCGGATGATCGGCCAGGCTCTGTGAACTACTTCATGGATCTCAGGGTGTCTCGCCCATAAGTCAAACCAAGTAGCGATTTGAGCGCGTGGTATCGTTCGTGCTGGGTCGCTCCCTTCTACCGCCAGTAGAGTACTCAAGCATCTTCCCGTCCACGTTAGTCTGAGCGCCTTGCCATATTGTCTTCTGATGTGCTTGATTTCTGACGGGGAACTGCCAAACGTTTTGCACCCGTAGAGCACCGACGCCATCGCCCCTTGCTCCACGATGCCCTTGATCTGCTTGGTGTTCAACTGCCTCAGTTTCTTGCCTACCTTGTTGAACCTCTTCCCTGCCTTCATCTTTCTGGCCCTGTGTGTCGCACGTGGTGTGGTGAGTTTCGCACCTCTGTCGAGCCCCAGGTCCCGCCCCTCTTTGACTGGCTTGACCTTGATATTGTGCTTGGCGAGCTTCTTGGTGATGTTCACTGCGCTCTTGCTAGTGGGGCCGAAGACTACCGACTTCGCTGCCATCTTCAGGTTGCTCTTCGTCAGCTGGGCGTTGAGGGGCGCAACTTGGTTCACGATGTCGTTCTCCACCGACGCCTGGCTGCCTGTGGCTCTGAGGCTGATGTCGTCGAACCAGATTCTGGGGTTGGACATCGGCTCTTCGTTCAGGTGCTTCGTGATCGTGACGTAGACCAGGCCCCGTGCGAGGTTGTTGCTGTGTCTAGAGCCCGCCAAAAGGGACTTGCTGGCCAGCGTGCGCTCGCTGTAGCATCCTTCTTGACGAAGGAGCCTCGACGTCATGTGCTGGAGTAGTGACATGGCAAGGATGCGGGCTGGGAAATCGTAGTGTTGTGCCGCTCGAGCTGTGTGCTCGAACTCGACGTTGTCGTAGAATCTCTCGATGTCGATGAGGGCTCCTGCTGTCGTTGCTCCCAGGGCGTCCGCGGTGACGTCGTCGATGATTCTGAGCATGGCCTCCCGTAGGCAGCTCTGTCCTGGCACCGCGGCGTCCCACGGCATCTTGATCTCCTTAACCCAGTCTCGTACTTGCTCACGTTTGAGCAGTTCCCAGCATCTGCCAAACCAACTGAGTAGTGCCAATGCTCTGTCTCCGCCTGTGCTGACCGCGTGGTGCGAGGGCTGGCTGGCTCCCTTGGGCTCGAGCATGATAATCGCCTCCAGGACCTGCCGGGGCCATGCGATGGCCTTCTCGCACTCGTTGTACAG